GAACCCAAAAAAAGAAACGGTAAAAGGGCACCTAGCTGGGGGACCTAGGAGGGTTTGCTTGTGGCTCAGCTTCTCTTTCTCCATCGTCTGGGACCCCGGACTGCTTCTCGGAGTTGGCCGGCATGATGGGCAAAACTTGCTAGGCTTCGGCGCAGGGCAAGCGTTGGGAGAGATTGGCTTGGGCCAAACGGAAGAAAAAGCCGGCGGCATGCGTTTTTCGCCTTTGGGCGGTCGCAAGCTGTGGCCAACCTGGCAAAATCCGCCGACCCCTTTCTCCAAAGGGGAGGCGCATGGGAAGGGCTTGTCTTTGTCCTGGTCTTAGTGATGATTATCATCACCGCTGATGTTGGGTGATGGTTCACGGCATCCGGATCATCATTACCGTGGCGCTCTTCTTTTTTCATGTACGTTTCAAGTGTGCCGTTAGACCCGACTGGACGCAGAGGATGCGTTGTCATGATTGTCATGCTGCTGATGCTAGGGATGCATACTGATGACGTGAAATGCTGGTGATGATGAGGATGCGTAGTGATGAGTATCATCAGGATGATAAACATGATGACGAAAATGATGATGATGAAAATGATATCCATGATGATGATGATGCTGATGATCGTGATGGATGAAAATGATGGTGGTGTTCGTCATCATCATGTTCATGTTCATCATCATCATCATGTTGATCATCATCATCATCATCATCATCATCATCATCATCATCATCATCATCATCATCATCATCATCATCATGTTCATCATCATCACCACATCATCATTTTCATCATCATGTTCCTCATCGTGTTCATCTTTCAAGTATGCACGGATGCGTTGTCATGATGTGATAACTGCTGATGCTGGGGATGCATAGCATAGTGATGACGTGAACTGCTGGTGATGCTGAGGATGCGTAGCAATGATTATCATCAAGATGATGAACACCACCATCATCACTTTCATCATCATGTTCATCATGGACATCAATGATGAACACCACCATCATCATTTTCATCATCATCATCATCATTTGCATCATCATGTTCTGGCGCTCTTCTTTCAGATACGTTTCAAGTGTGCCGTTACTGGAATGCAGAGGATGCGTTGTAAAGACCGTGATGAACATGATGAGGAACATGATGAAAATGATGATGATGATGAACATGATGATGAAAATGATGATGATGATGAACATTCTTGTTCTTATTCTTAGATGCATTTCAAAAGTAACGTTAGACCCCGTTGGCAATGCAGAGGATGCTACGACGATACTTATCATCACAGTCATCATCACTATCATCATGGTTATTATCATATCTTATTAGCCGGCACTGGTGATGCCAAGGATGTCATCATCATCTCTTATTAGGCAGCACTGGTGATGCAAAGGGTGTTACGATGATAGTTATCATCATAATCATCATCATGATCACCCTTATTGCCCGATGATAGTTATCATCACAGTCCTCATCCTTATGACGATGATGACGGTGATGATGATGAACATTATGAACATGATGAACATGATGATGAAAATGATGATGAAAATGATGATGGTGTTCATCCTCATTCATCATGCTCATCATCATCAATCATTTTCATCATCATGTTCAACACCGTCATCATCATCATCTTCATCATCAACATGTTCATCATCATCATCATGTTTTCAAATGTGCCGTTAGACCCGAGAAGAAATGCAGAGGATGCGTTGTCATGATTGTCATGATATCTGCTCGGGGAACAATGATGAAAATGATGATGATGATGGACATGAAAAACATGATGATCATGATGAACATGATGATGGAAATGATGATGATGATGATGATGAACATGATGATGAAAATCATGAACATGATGATGAAAGTGATGATGGTGGTGTTCATCATCATCTTCATCATGTCATCATCATCATCATCATTTTCATCATCATGTTCATCATCAAGATGCGTGGACATGATTATCATGAGGATTGCTGGACGCTGGACAATTATCATCACAGTCATCATCCTTGTCACCCTCGTCATCAATATCATCATCATCGTAGTAATCACCATCTCTTTCTATACTTTTCTAAACTATATTTCAAGTGTGGCGTTAGAGAGCACTGGTGATGCAGAGGATGCGTCGTCATGATTATCATCATGACTACTTGTTCATCAGGTTCATCATCATCATCATCATCATCATCATCATCATTTTCATTGAACACACATCACTTTCATCATCATGTTCATCATCATCATCATCATCATGTCCATCTGTTTTTCATGTATGTTCATCATTTTCATCATCATGTTCATCATCCATCATCATCATCATCATCTTCATCATCATGTTCATCATCATCATCATGTTCATCATCATCATTTGCATCATCATGTTCCTCATCATGTTCAAAACCGTAGCGCTCTTCTTTTTCATCTACGTTTCAATCCGACTGGAAATGCAGAGGATGCGTTGTCATGACTGCTGCTGATGCTGGGGCTGCATAGTGATGACGTCAACTGCTGGTGATGCTGAGGATTATCATCAGGATGATGATGATGATAATGATGATGAACATAATGAGCATTATCATGAAAATGATGATGATGATGATGATGAACATCATTGTTCATCATCATCAGAATCATCTTTATCATCATATCATCATCATCATCATTTGCATCATCATGTCCCTCATCATGTTCATCATCAAAACCGTGCCGTTAGACCCGACTGGAAATGCAGAGGATGCGTTGTCATGATTGTCATGCATGGTGATGATCGTTAACTGCTGGTGATGCTGAGGATGCGTAGTGATGATTGTCATCAGGAAAATGCTGCTGATGATGATGAACATGATGATGAAAATGATGATGAAAATGATGAGGCTGATGAACATGATGATGAAAACAATGATGAGCTGCTGATGCTGGGGATGCATAATGAGGACGTTAACTGCTGGTGACGCTGAGGATGCGCAGTGATGATTATCAATAGGATGATGATGATGATGATGATGATGATGATGATGATGATGATGATGATGATGATGATGAACATGATGATGAACATCATGATGAAATCATCATCATCATCATCATCATCATCATCATCATCATCATCATCATCATCATCATCATCATCCTGTTCATCATCGTCGCCATCGTCATCATCATGTCCATTCCTAACGGCTTACTTCTCGCGAAGACAAAGCGATGGCACAAAGTCACAAAGTCCACACTTCGCATCCACAGCAATACATCGAGGCCCCCAACATGGGTTTCCTGCCCGAGTTTCCACACACCCGAGACACTTCTGGTAAAATTCAACAAGGTGCTTATTGTCATGCGAATTTATCCCGCAGTGAGATGGAATGCGTCGTCATAATTATCAGAACAACTGCTGGTGATGCTAAAAAATGCAAAGTAACAAATATCATCATAACTGCTGGCGATAATGCAAATGCATAGTATCAGCATCCCTAATGTTGGGAAAAATGCATCATCAAAAACATCATCATTATCGTGCTGCTCTTCTTTTTCATATTGCTTTAAATGCGCCGTGAAACCCGCCAAAAAATGCGTAGTCATAATTGTCATAACAACGTCCCCTGTCAGCAAGCAGGGGCCGGCGGCACAGGGCGGCAGCCCTTAAATATCCGTGACCAGTATTATTGGATACATGGCACCTTCGACATAATTCTTCATGCGATCGACCACGAGGAAAACACCGCTGAAGATTTTGCCTGTTCTGCACAGCTGCAAGGCAAAAGGACACACGTCAATTTGGGGTGCACCTCAATTTTGACGACATACCCAGAGCTGGCTTTTGGGGGTGGCGTTCTGTGATTGGTAGGATGGTGCGGGTAGGGAAGCCCCACCCAAACCCCTAGTAACATCTAGATAACGAGTCAGGTTCTTGCCGCAAGCTACAATCTCTGGTCACCTCTTTGGAGAGGTCGCCTTTGAACCACCATGAGGGTAATTTTGAGGATGTCAATTGAATGGACAAGGTCTCAGCATGCTTCTGAATGTATCCGCAGTTGATGGTTCACCACGGCTGCACGGAACACCCAAGGTTCGAGGCGGCCGAAGTCGGATTCGGTACGCCATGCAGAAAAAGTATGATTGTCGACTTCTTCCATGTTCAATCATCGTTCTTTTCAAAATCTGGCCGCTCTCCCTGTTGACTGGTAGCTTGCTGGAATGAAGCATCCCCGCAAAGATTACGCCAAAGTCATCCCTAGACTACGGGGGTTGTCGGGCCCAAACCTCTTGCGCGGCCAATTTGTCCAGCCCTTGTGCTTCGGTGTTTTTTTGGGGGGGACTTGTGAACAGAGCTCAAACCGGAAGCCTGCAAAAACTGGTTGGCAACCTCTAACAAGGGTCTCTGAGCGCATGACTTGCACCTCGCGGTCTTTCGGCCAACTGGTTCTCTTACTTTCTCACGGTCACTCAGAAACCCAGGGGAGTGTGGGAAAAACGAAACTCCTTTGTTTTGTTGGTTGACTTAACTTGAAAAAACGCTCCCCCCCCCCCCCCACTCCAAAAAACAACAAGAGAACGAAGGGTGGAACCCTCTGCAACTGTCGAAGCTTTTCGCGCACAGCCAAAGCTTCGCCAGCTCTGTGGAGGCTCTGCAGCTTTGTGGGTCAGGCGCGTAGCGGCTGTACATCCCAAAAAACCTGATTCACGAGACACCTCGAATTCCGCTTGGCAGCAAACAAGTTTGGAGCAAACGTCGGCCTAACCCGGACAACAAGTTTGTAAACGCGTGGGTTGCAACTCTTTTGGGGTCGACAAACCCGTGGGTCGCCCCATTGCCCAGCGGCCGAGCACCGAAACGCCCATGGACAACCCTGGTCCCTTCAAAGGGAAGCCAAAAGGTTGTTGAAACCAATTTGTCATCGCAACTCATGCGGGCCATGGTCGTGGTTGCCTTTAAAAACCAAAACACATTATACTTGTCTAAAACCGACCAAACCATCAATCCAAAGCACCAACAGAGGGAAGCGTCCCTACCAACCCCAAGCATCTTTTGACCATGGCCCCTTGGCGAGCTCATGCTGCCGCAGTGATCCCCAGCACCGTCGGCAGAATCGTGAGACGTTGCCGCGGAACCGACAGAGGCGCCTGGCCATCCAGAAGCTTGGAACAGAAATTCGGCCTCCCGAAAAGGACACGAAAAATGCCGCGGGCTCTTCTTGGGGGTGTCCTTGTAACACAACCCAAAGGGGTGCCAATACAAGAAAAAGCACACACATCTCTGGGCCAACACGGAAGAATACTTAAAAGTCCAACACATCCCCAGATGCCCTGACAATCACCGATCAGCAACCAGCAACACAAATCCATCCCCGCTCAAGTGTCTGAGCCTTGGAATCCAATCAGACTGGCAGCATCGCAACGATTCACACTCACACACACACACACACACACACACACTTGAACTCCAGATGGAGAGTGCTAATCTTTCGAGTACAACTGATGAGTCTCGAGTACAACTGATGAGTCTCGGCTGAGTTCGGCTTGCAAGTCACTCGGCTTCTCTCTAGAGGCGAAAACGTTACCCGAAAGAACAAGAAGCACAAACAGCGCCGCAACCAAGGGGGCCAAAAGGACAGCAACATCACTTTACACATGCAGGTACGCTGGGATGATCAGTCCCAGTATCACCACCGATGGCAAGTGTCTTCGTTGGCCCCTGCTGCAGCGGAAAAAGGTTTTGGTGGCAGGGTTTTCTGCCACTCCGCACACACACGCCCCTCTATGAGGGGCGAGGTTTCTCTTTTCCTGCAGGAAGATCACATGCTCCAACTCGAATCTCTATCGTTGACCAAAATATCCACCACGGCGAGGGGAGCGAGACACAGCCCTAAACCGCTCAGAAGACGGGAACGAGAGATCACCACGTTGAGCGTTGCGAGTGTCGCCATAGAGGACTGAAGCGATTTGCGAAGCAGCCTGGCGATCACCATGAGAAAACGGAGTGGCGTAGGTGAACGTCTCCTCAACTGGAACGGCATCGGAGTTCCGAACTTGACCAAGAGATTGATCATGCGGATAATGAGTTGCGAAGGACTCCATCCGAGACAGAATGCGCTGGTATCCTTGATGTTGCCAGTCACGGATGTCCCATGCCTGGACAGGCTCATTGGGATCAGTCACCCGCTGCCATTCCCGAAAAGAATTTTCAGGTAGATCAGGTACGGCGTCACCGCGGTGCCATCGTTGAGGCTGTCCTGGAGTGTATATCCGCACCCACTCCTGTTCCTGCCAGACCGAATATTCGAGCCATGGGTGCTGCTTCGAATCATCGATGTCCATGTCGAAGTGAGAGGGCTCCGATCCAGCTAATAGAAGAACAGGCACCATGCACAACCATGTTCAAACAACAACCAAGCAAGATCATGCAAGTGTAGAGACCACCCTTATTTTGTACGCTGCGCCACTCATGCGAGTCTAGTCCTCAGTCAGCTCGAAGATGGGACTCGCCTTGTCCGTGCCGTTGTCGGAAGGATTCACGGGCCGGTAGGGCTCGGAGACCCCAATCGTCTCCGATGGTGTGTTTCCACGCGATGCACGTACTGGTTGATGAGGTTGGGAAGCTTGACGTGCGCGAGCTGTCAGTTGTTGAGAAATCCCCTCCTGGAGACGAGTCAGTTCTTCGGTAGAGAAATCAGCCGCATCCGAGGACCTGAGAATCGCGTCTAACAGCTCCGGTGACATACTCAATGCCGCAGACTGCGTGGCCACGCTGTGATGATCAGGAAAATACATGGAATCAAATTCATGACCAGCGTGAGGGGCAGCGACTCTCCGATAGCCCTCTGTGGCCCAGTCTCGTTTGTACCACGTGGTGACTTGGACCTGCCCACCGACTGAGTCCTGGTTGGGAGCATAGAACTCCCTCCATTCTCTAAAAGTATGCGGAGGAGGTGGAGCATCATGTTCTTCATGTGGTGTCCATGGTCCCGGATGAAAGATCTTGACCCACTGGGCATCTGGTTGTTGAGGGTCCGGACACCATTCCAGCCACGCCATGACAACGCAACCACGGAAAGACAAATTGATAGGTGTACGGCTGCAGACAAAAATGAGTGCAAGCGAAACAACAATCACAATGCAAAAGACCACTTTTGCAGCACTGCGCGGCTCCAGCATCGAAGACAATCTCCCGAATCGAATTGAACTGAACAAACTCCCCAGGAAGGCGAGGACGGGCATCAGCCATCATGTGAATTGGATGATGCCGAGGAGGAGGTCAGTCCAGCATACATGAGGTCCGGTGCGCCCGAAGCGAAGACTGGCCTCGCGATGCTGGGGCGTGGACGACCCAGACGTTGGTATCCCCTGGTGACCCAGTCCCTGTAATACCAAGTATAGACGGTTGCATAGGATACCGGTTGCGAAACAGTGCCTGTGGTGGTGCCGACCGTACTTTCCCTAGGCCAATACACTTCGAAGTGGTGGACCTTGCGCCATTCCCGATAGGTGGTTGAGTCATCCGGGGCCGGTCCCAGGGTGTTCGCGGCGACTGGATGCCACTGACCCGGTACATAGATCCGAATCCATTCCACACTCGTATTTGCTGGCCCATTGACGATGTCGTAGTCAAAATAGCGAGGTAGGACCCATCGTGCTGCACCATGCACTGTACTATTGAACAGTTCAACCCGGCAAGCCGCTCAAAGTCATAAAGGAAAGCGGCGAACAAATAGAGACGGAATGTACACCACCAAGCAAGACAACCCAACGTGGACTCACATACAAAGCAAGCACAACCGCATCTTTATCCGACATGCTACTCAAGTGTCACTCCGAATCATTCCAAGGATCATGGAATGGTGGCGGTGACGGCTCCCGCCACGCCCCATCCGGTACCGATGAGCCAGTCTCGGTACTCCCACACGTGGTAAGACACATAGGAACTGGGCGTGACTATGGGATCCGTTGTGGTGCCTTCGGTGCTGTCTTCAGACCAGTACACTTGGAAGTGATATGATCTGCGCCACTCCCGATACGTGGAAGCGTGGAGTGGGTCAGGAACTGGAGCATCATCGGGAACGGGTCTCCAAATGCCCGGAGAGTAAATTCGAATCCATTCCACTCCTCTATCGATCTGGTACTCGAAATACTGGGGGTTCATAGCGGCAAGACAGGCTCTCGCGCGACAGCTAAAACCAGTCGAAAGTCTGCGGCAAAGACACACATGCATTGCAAACCGCGCACATCCGCTGGAGAATGAGGCAACTTTTCAAACTCAAGGTGAAACACAGCAACTAGGTCTGGAATGTCCGACTCCTAGGTTTCACTGTCGTTGATGTCGCGCACACCTGCAATGATAGTGTCCTGGTCGTCTACGAGCACAAGGGGAAAGACATTTCCGCCCATGGCGCAGGATGGCATGACAGTAGTGTTTGCAAGTTGCCGATGGGGACAGCGATGGACGGCCAGCACGTTTGGAGGGGAACACTGTAAAGGGCCGTCGAGATCGCCGCGGCGCTGAAGCGGATGCTGTCCGAGATCGTTTGGATGAGCGCCCCGGACTACGTGGTTGTTCATCACGGGAATGGTCAGTGCTGTAGATCGAGCGGCGTGTGCGCTGCGATTTCGAAGAGGTAGGGCAGGATTGTCCGCGAGGGGCTGAGATCGAGGGGCTGCGTACCGAGGGCATAAACTGTGGGTGTAGAATCACCGGTGGTGGTGGTGGTGGTGGTGGAGGAGGAGGTGGAAGAAGCAATGGGAAACTTGGCGGGGGCGGAGGCGACGTAGTCTGCCGAATGGGTCTGTCGAGTAAAGCCCCGGGTCCATGAAATTGTAACCACGTCGGCTGTGCTCCATGGGTCCAGGTGATGTACGTCTGTACAACTTGTTCCGACATGATTTGAGCAACTCAGTCATGACTTCACTTCATGTCGACGGCATCACCCAAAACGGCAAGCAAAAGTAAGTCACGTGCAAGCAAGCAAATATCATGTGATCAACAACAAGAGCCGAACACGCCGCCACGGCCTACCATTTAGTCCTCCGATGGTCGCTGCTGCATTTGACGACCGCGTTCCTAGCCGCGAGCCTCAAGTTGTTGATAGACCTTCCATGCCTGCTTGACTTCCTCAATCGGCTTCTGAAGAAACCGAGCAATGGTCTTATAGGTGGGCCTGGAATCCTTGTCTTTCTTCCGTCGCACCATCTCATCCAGCTCACCCTGTGTCCATGCCGTGAAAGGTTCACGGTATGCATTGCGAAGTGCAATGGTGAATTCTTGTAGAAGTTCCCGAGGACCATGAACCACCGTAGGCGACGGCCGGAACGACGAAGCACCTGGATGCGGACGTACCGAGCCATCAGAATCCGAATCAGGTGTCGTAGGCGACGTCTGTCCTGGCTCTCGGCCACCGTGTGTGGCGAAGGGAGCAAGTGGACGAGGCGGTGGCAGTCGATCCAACATCGAAACATCGATTCGGGCCGAGTACCAGGATTGTGGTCACTAGCATCCCGATGTGCCGCTCGAGGCGGGGATAAGGCCGGTATGTACCAGGTAGATGACGTGTCCACAGGTCGAGCCCGAATTCGTGTGGGAGAACGGGATCTGTCAGACGAGGCGCGCTCCGTGATGATGCGGGGCCGCAACCCATGTCTGGAGTTTCTTGGTGCTCTCGGGGTCACCACAGTGTCTGACGGATGGCTACGCTCAGTCATCAGGGCAAAGTTCAGGGTGTCCAGAGCTGTCGCAACTTGGGATGCAAGGACATTGAGTACCGCCACCAGGTTATTCACAAACTCAGCTGACAACTGCATGGCAACCAATCAAACCGCAAGGTCAACTCAAGCAAAGTGGCAAAGCTGTAAAGCTGCGGCATGGCAAAGATATGGTGCATGCAAACATGAATGTAGCAAATGCTGAGGTACTTTTATCGCTGGTGCTCCGTCACCGTTCATACGACAGACCTGATGGTCGGCAAGCTGGCATGGCCTTGACCGCCGGTGGATACTTCGGAGTGTAAGCATGGCGGCGGGACGTGGGAACCACATCATCTGGACGGTCTGGGAGCCGTCGGTGATGGCTGCGGGATCGTCTCCGGTGCGGCTCTCGATGCCTAGATCTTCGCCTTCGTCTGTGTTCCCAGGAG